GAAAAATCCTTTTCCAAGGATTTTCTTAGCTGGCTTTGCAGTACTGCTTTCATAAGTGGTCTGATCACAGCTGTTCTTTCAATTTGGAGGTAGCTCTGCAGCTTGACTCACTGGTACAAATTAATTCTGACACAAATAGAGTTAACCCCCATCTGATTTGCCTTATGTAATGTCTACCATGACCAGTAAGGTAAATTTACCTACTCCTTATTTTGTGCTCTACTGCTTCTCTGACTGCCTAGCCAGGAGGGTGATCACTTCTCTTCCTTAAATCTCTTTCTCAAGGGTTAGTCTGTTGTACAGCTGAAAAATACTGCAAACGTTGTTGGCTGTGTTAGCTTTTCTATTCAGTAGCCTTCATCTCTTACAGGAATCTTCATTTCTTTGTAGCTTGCTGATAGTGCTTTACCACTGCTTCTCACTCCCTCTCATTTGTCACTCACCATTGCAAACACATGTAGTACCTTCCTCCCTCTGACCCTTGCCCAAGCTTTTTTATTGAAAAGTTAGGCAATGTCAAGATAATATGCGATAGAAGCTTTGATGTTTGCAGTGTGAAGGAAAGGGGGGAAAAATGTGGCATGTTACCGTCAGTTAGTCAGCATCTGTCAGATGGTGCCTGGTGGCTTAAGTATACAAATTTCTGGGAAAACAAACACACTGAATTTGATAGCCAGAGCCTTAAAGCCTGATTTCCACCCGAACCAAATGCTTTTATTAGTAGCTCTAAATCTTTGGTGAGATATAGCAGTCATGTATAAAACTGTTCAACAAGAACACATTATAGGCTGAAGGGAGGAGGATGTGCACCTAGGAGCAGGAATAAAATACAAAAGTGGGAGGTAGAGGCAAGACTGCTGTTATCCGAGGCCTGAGAAATGAGGACATTGAGATGAACGTAGAATTTGATGCCAAAATATTTTGCGACTTTTCCCTATCTTATATAGTAGAATGTCCCAGTTATCTTTAGGAGAAAAAGCAAGTTATTCAATGTTAATCTGTTTCAGATCTCAGCACCACTCACAAAAGTAAGGACCTGTTCCTTCAGCCAAGCAATCAACTTCACACAGATAAACTGAGAAAGGAGTTTGGTTCTGGAATTGATGTTTCAGTTCCTGGTTATAGATCTGAAGTCTCCCCTGAAAGTACGGTACATGTTTGGAGACTTATTCCACCTTTACTCTTGCTTAACCTCTTTGCATTTATCAGTCACTACCTTCTATTAGTTGTAAGTGTTATTGTATTTGGATGGTGGGTTAATTAATTTTTTCAAAACCAAGAGGCTCATTGTGTTTCAGTACTGAGAGAATGAAGATTGCAAAGGGATAAAAGACTTTTTCCTTTTAAATAGTCTCATTTTCTTAAAAAGTCTAATACAATAAAGGGCCTGGAAGCTTAACCAATACAGCATTAGTAAAAACATCTTTGAAAACCCTTTAGCACTTTTCGTTGTACTCCTAATTCTACTACTCTTCAAGCTATCTGCTCCAGAATGCAAGTAATAAAATAATTTCAAAGGCATTGAGCCTTTTAATTTTTTAGGGTGGGGGATTAAGATTGCTATTTGAGAAAACATCTTATACTCTGGGATTTTTTGCAAGATCAAAAATAAGACAAAAAAAAAGTTTTGAGCTGGCATTACAGTCAAGGAGAAAGGAGTTGTAGAAAAGTGCTCTTGAGTCTTGGATTGTTACAGAGGTTTTCGTGCTATCTTTTCTCCTCACACATTACCGTAGGGTTATAGCTGAATGTTAGGAAGGTGGCTGAAGCATGTCTTCATGCTCCAGCATACTCCAGTTGATGGAACAGCTTTTATAGGTGATAGACTTGCGAGTTTATGGTGGAGAGCAGCCTTGCAGCCAGATGGTTCTGGGCATATGTGTTTATAAGAGAGCAGCTTTAAGTCACTTTACCTCCTTTGGAGCTGTGCTGAGCGCAGCTTAGATTCAGGCAGCTGTGTTTTGAGTGCCATGCTCCTTTTCTGTTCTGTGGCTTGCATCTCATCTGTTTGCTTTGGTTCTTTTCTATTCAGTGTAAAGGCAAAGGGGTGGCTAATATTCCTGCCCTGGAGAATTACCGTGAATGAGAACGTGTCTTCTGCCCCTTTGCAAGCTACTTAAGACCTAGCTATGGGTCCTCAGGAGGGAAAATTGATTATGTTCTTGCTTGTTCCATTCTTAGAACAGGCAAGTAGGTGATGTATAGATCTTTGGCTCCTATTTTAATACTTCTAGGATGTATTTGATGCTGATCTGTATAAGCCTTTTCTCTTCCTTTTCAGTTTCAGTGCCTGTCCATGAAAGGTACTTCAAGAGAGGCTGCTAATTTGGTAATGAAAGTTCAGGCTGGGTCGTGGTAACCCTAGCTAGCTTTGAAGTCGACAGCTTGGATGGCGGTAACAAGATGTAACTTTGCAGCATAGCTGGGAGTGGTTGGATCGGGTGGTGTTCTCAGTACAAAAACAAGCTCTGGTGTGAGGACAGGTACGATACAGATCTGTGAAAGCATGAATGGCTTGGGGAGAGTGAGGTAGGGAACAGCAGTACTGTGTCTTCTATTCCCAGAGCTAGGGAGCAGCAGATGAAGCCAGCAGGCGAGCAGATGTCTGAAACGGGTATCTTTGCATAACAGATCACTGAAGTGGGAAATGCTTTTTTATAGGGTGTTGCAAATGCTAAACATTTGTCTGAGTTCAGAAAGCAACTGGCCAAATTCACAGAAGATAACTATTAAATGCAAAGATACTAATCTGCTTGTGCCATGAAGTGCTGGGAGAGCATAGAAGGGAAGTATCGCTGTATGCTTGTCCTGTTTTATACCCTTTCTAGGTGTCAGCTACTGGTTATTGTTGAAAACAGGATACTGATATCGAGGGTGTTTGATGGGACCTGATTCAGTAACTTTTTGCTCTTGTGCCTGTAGAAAGTGCACGCAGATTTTGGATTGCAATGTAGATTTACTATTGGAAGCATATTTTGATGCACACTGTCACTTAGGACTACTTTTTGTGTAGTATGCATTTGATAATACTCCTAGTTTGATGCTATGTGTATGGTCTCAATGCAACTTCCATGAAATTTTGAAAAAATGGATGATCATGTTGTATGGTACCAGGACTGTACTTGTATGTTGTGTTCATCATTGCATTTTTTTATTTTGTTGTAAATGTTAGGATTCCTTTTTGTTTTTCTTTGTGTGAGAAACATGTTAGATTGGCGGATAATAAATTTTTAACTGAGTGATGAGCCACATCTAAACCTCCCAATCAGTGCATTTGCAGCAAAAAACAAAAGAAAAGGGCTGAGGCATTTAATTTCTTTGCAGTCTTTCTGAACACAAAATGTAAAAGTCAAATTTAATGTCTAATGGTAGATTGGTAAACAGGATTATTGCCTGGATGGAATAAATCCTCAAGTGTTCCACCAATTTTATTTTACTGTGTAACGATTCTGAAAGCAACTCTCAAAAGGACCAATATGTGCAGCATTTTCTAGTACCGCTTAGAATGCCCGTGTATATTTGTTGTTATTTATTTAGCTCGTCCCACTTTTGTTTATTCCTATTTTAGCTTTTTAATTTGCAATTCAACTTCTTTAGCTTTGAAAGCTATTTAATATTTCACTGTGCCTTAAATGATTCTGTATTTTTAGACAAAATGGAAGGACATTGTGCTATAGGTGCAGTCTATATAATATTGTCTTTTTTTCAAGTTAGTCTCATGACATCATTAATACTCAGCACTGCATTTACAGAGTCAGTGTTCTCATTTAGACTTCCTAGCCTGTGATTAAATGGGAGTTGCTGCTTGTTGTACTATGAGTTGGCTGACAAAAGCTAAATCTGTCACAGGTACTACAATTTGTGTATCAGAAAATCTGCTTTCCAAATACTAATTATTCCCAAAGTATCTTACTTCACACAAAGCACAGATAACAGAGTCAGCGAATTTGTCCCAGTTTTATCACTGTGCTGTAATGATTTTCCCCCACTGATGTGTTTTTTCACTTAATTCTTCCAATCAAAATGCTTGAAAAGTATGTTATTCAAGTAATCATTGCTGAATTTCACTTCTGTAATTCAAGGAGCTGTTGTCTAGGGACATAGGGTGGTGGGAAATTAACAGTGTTGTCTTTCCAAATGTCATTAAAAATTGGAAGTGTTTTGTGCTTGAAAGGCCCAGACCTACTCTGGTCATATGCTTAAACTATTATTTCTGGAAGTTAATTTAATATGATGGTAACCTATCAGGAATTATCTTTCTGATTGCTGTGCGAGAAGAATGGACCCTCAGTCACTGAAACTGCAGCTGAATAAAGGAAAGCATCCAGTTTATAACCTCCTCAGACTCTGAGTCACCTATGTTGTGACCACACATATGTAGGTACTTGTGCATAAGCACGTAGCTGGGTTCCCATCACCCCTCTTCCACCGCTCCCTGTCGTGGAGAGCCTTTATGATAACCTGTTACAGCCCCAGTCGCCAGTATAATGTATTTTGACATTGAAGTGGCAGGATCTCCCTAGATAAGAGCTTGTAGTTCAGGTAGGCTACTGCTCAGTTAAATCTTTTGTAACATGTCTAGCTGTCGTCTGAGTGAGCAGATTTTTGACACTAGATGCAGAATGACCTGCTAAAATCACAACTGGAACTGTGTTTCAGCAGCTTCTCCTTTCACTACAGAGAGTTACCTAGGAACCCCTTCTGAGATTAGACGAGTATTTTAAATGTATATTCAAAATATTTAGCTTATAGAGTGAATTACACAGAAAAGGAAGAGAACTGAATGCTATAAATAAAATTTTTAGCAACAATTTTTGCATTGTAAACTAGCTTAAGAAACTGTTTATTTACTCCCTTAGGATGAACATATTGTATATTTCTAGATTTCTGACAAATGCAAACATTAATGTGATTTGACTTATAATAGCAGTGATTCACTGCTCTAGTTGTTTGGCTTGTGTATAGTAATACTGATTTGTATTTTTATTTTATTTCTCTAGGACTATTTAACCATTCACAAGTATGGCAATGCAGCCAGAAATGATCTCTGGAACACATTGTCAAAGGTAAAATGCTTTAATCTATTGCACTGAGGGAGAAGCAGGAATTGACTGTGATGTTTTTCTTGGTGAGGTTAGGAGTGAATAGTGTGTACTGTACTTCAGACCCCAGAGCAAGTATAAAAACTGATGCAAAGAAATTCCATTTGAGTTAACCTAGTGGCAACATTAAAATATGTTTTTTGCAGCACTTCTGTTCGTTGTTATGTTAGAATATATTTCCTTGCTTGTGCTGTGTCACTGATGTGCAGTAAAAGATATTTCAAGGAATCCACTATCATTGACTTTAGTGGAAGCATGCTGAGGCGCATAAACTGGGAAGCACATGAAAGTGCTGAGCTTTGCCATTTACATCAGGTGTGTTTGGGATTTTGTATGGAATTGTGATTTGTGTGAAGGACAAAACTATTAAAGCTTTAAAGTTTGGTGTAAACAGAAAAGTATCACATTTGGCATGCTGCAGAGACTTATAGTTGCTATGTCCATGCTCTCTTTGGTTGCTAAGCCCACGCTGGGCTTGAGTTTCTGGAGCCAGATCCAGGGATCTATAAGGGAAGAGTTTAATTTTCATAAAGTGAGCCAAGCATGCCTGAATTTCTTGCCTACAGAGCTAGTCTGGGCACTCCAGAACAAAGACAGATTGCAAGGCAATGTAGAGTACAGTCAGGGTGTTTGCGCACAAATACCTACTCAAACCATGTGTAAATGTGACAATCTAATTATAGTTATTGACACCAAAGCCAGTATTCAGCTGGAGGTCAAGACATCAGCATTTATCTAGACAAGCAGGTGTACACATATAAGCTAGGCGTCCAAGCTCCAATTGTTGTCAGTGAGGGCTGCATTCAGTTGCCTCTTTGCAGACGTCTAACAACATTTACCTTAACTTATCCTACCTGGCTTCCAGCTACCACAGGAGATAAGCATGTCTGCTGGAGGTCACCCAGTTCTGCAAGGATTTGTTGAATATTGTAGGACATCTCAATTGACAGTTGCTGAATAGGAACAACTAGAGTCCCACCAACTGGAGAAAAATCTTGTCAATACAGTCAGCAGAAATAGAGAGCAATTCAGTTGACTAACCATTACACAATTATTTTAAAATGAGCCTGAAAGAGACTGTTGACTAGAGACTTCAGATAGTTGCTCAAATCTAGGCAGCTAGGGCCAGATAAGTGCAGTACGGTGTCTAAGACATTCAGGTGGGTCTAATTGATTTGACACAAGATCTGTGGGGAAATCTGTACCCTTCTAGGGTGGCAGGTCAAGGTTAAATGACATTAGACACCTGTGTATGGGCAACAGAACTGACTTTTATGTCTGTACTGAGTGTTAATGAGAGTTGAGACAAGTAACATACAGTCAGGCTCTTAAATCTGTGTCTTAACTGGAAGTGGAATGTCACTGCAAAAGTCTTTCTTGATTCTTGCTTCTCACCTGGTGTCTTCCTCTGTTAAAGTCTTTGGGACAGTTCTGGGTGGTAGAAGCTGAGAGGTGTGAACGTAATCTTGAAAGAGCAGCAGAACCCACATCTAATAAAATAGAACAAAAATGAGACTGTATTCAGGTCTATAACCACTACGACTATACTCTACGCTCAAATCTATTGTTAGGGCTGATAATTCCATTTGTCTCACCTGTAAGCACATATTTTTGCCAGCCGCTTAGTTCCCAATGCATTGCAATTGCAGCTTCGGTTCTGAAGAATTCTTGCTGCATTCTGTTTGTGTTCATCAGAGGTTACTCAGTCTGTGATCTAGGACTGTTTGGCAGCTAGGGACATTTCCATCACTGAAGAACAAATGATGCCTGTCATTCTCGTCATACCCAGTCTCATCTTTCATGATGCCACAATAGCTCCTTTTACTTCAGATAAAAATCCACTTGTAAAACAGCATTTTTATTGACATACGGTATCAAATATGAACACGCTCATTCTCCGTGCGTTATGACAGAAGGCTGAGAGGGGACCTTATAAAGGCTTATAAGTGTCTTAAGGGTGGGTGTCAGGAGGATGGAGACAGACTCTTTTCAGTGGTCCCCAGCGACAGGACAAGGGGCAACGGGCACAAACTGAAGCATAGGAAGTTCCAGCTGAACATGAGGAAGAACTTCTTCCCTCTGAGAGTGACAGAGCACTGGAACAGGCTGCCCAGGGAGGTGGTGGAGTCTCCTTCTCTGGAGATATTCAAGACCCGCCTGGACAAGGTCCTGTGCAGCCTGCTGTAGGTGACCCTGCTTTGACAGGGGGGTTGAACTAGATGACCCACAGAGGTCCCTTCCCACCCCTACCATTCTGTGATTCTGTGATGACAGGTACAGTTTATGAAGGAGCTGGGGATATGTTTGTATACGTGGCCTCACTTTGGACATGAGGGACAATATTTTCAAATAACTAGTCACTTGATTTTCAGAACAGGGAAGCTCTGTACTTTCAGAAGTCAGGCCCTTTGAATATGCCTAGATCAACTGACACTGTGTCTTTTTTAGCCGTAGCTGGTTAAGTACATCTTTTGGAAACAGCCACCCAGTATTTCTGTGGCTCTTGTTAAAACCCTGTACAGCAGGTTGTTTCTTCTGTTGGAGCCAAAGTGCCTGAATGATGTGGAAAACATGACTTTCTGACTGTCACTCTTCTCTCTGGCAAAATTTCTCAGTGTTTATTTTTAAGATATGCAGACACTATTGGTTAAATTATGTGGTATCTGTGTACTAGGTGTAAATGTGTGTGTGTGCATGTATGATGGTTATTTAAACCTCTAAAAATAATTATAGTCTCTGGGGAAAAAAAATAGAGTTTTATATGTTGGATGATGATATTGCTTCAACTTATTGAAACTTTTCCTTTTTCTTGAAGGCTTTAAAAAGGGTTGGAAAATCTGTAAATATCCAAGAAGTAATGGATCAGTGGACACTACAAATGGGTTATCCTGTTATCACTATCTTGGGAAATGAAACTACAGACAATGTCATAGTGATCTCCCAAGAGCGTTTTGTGTATAATAGTGATGCTAAACCCAAGGATCTTGCCCTTGGCGACAACAGGTACTTACTTTTCTCAATTTAATTTTTCGAGAGGCTGTTGTTGTTTAAGTAAGTGCTTCATGGGTGTATTTTTATGAAGATCACTCTTTAGAAATCTCTGAGCTTTTCTTTGTATCAATAGCATGTGGTGACCCTTCCATCTGAGCTGTAGTAAAGATGAGGCTAGTTAAAAGAATTGGAAAAATCATTAGAGTAATAGAATGACAAGATAAAGCTTTTAATTTGCATCCTGACAGTTCTCTCTGTGACTGCGTCTTACGTCTTACATCACATATTTGTTTCCTCTCCTTTTCATTTGATTTTGTCACACTCCGTGAAGTAATTTGGAATGTGGTTGGAAGGTCTGATACTTCTTTTTAAGGAATTCTTTGGAGTGGACCTCTCCATGCTCATGCATTGAGTAGCCAGATGTAACCGTGTGTTGGGTATATACCTTGCTTGACTCAGGAAGCCGTCAAGAGCTGAACTGGACCGCTGCACAAGGCAGGGGGTTCCAGCTGTTCCATTGTTGAAGCCAGCTGAACTGGTCCTATGGGGATTGTTACATCAGCTGAAATGAGCAGGCACTTACGCATCTCTGCCCCTACCCTTTTTCCACTTCTTAGTTCATTCCTGCCCCCAGCTGACTCCACAAACTTCCTTCATTGCAGAGAAAAGCTGACATTCCTGGCTAAAGCTGGGGAGTCCTCATCTTACTGTTTAAAGCAGTTTTGACATATTTTAAGGCCAAGGATATAGAGCTGACGCTAGAGAATTGCAGTTTAGCCTTAGAAGCTTCACCCATTAGTGCAAGGGCACGCTGTCCACTTTCAGTACTCTGTGCTTGTCCAGCAGATTTAAATCATTAAGAGGTAAAATTTATTACCAAATTTTGCTTGACACATCTGGACCTTATAGAATATTCCTGTTGAGGAAGTTCTAAAAATGTTTATTGGGAAGTGTTTAGAAGTTCGTTATCATTTTTTAGAACACGAATATTATGGAACTCAAACATGACTTAGAGTGAATTGTTGTTTTTCTGGCTGTATTGGAACAACCTAGCGGGGTGTTAAGCATATGTTCAAGTTCTGGGCTGAAATTAGTCCCTTTGTGAAAAAGAGATAAAATAGGTGAATGTGGACTGTTGGAAGTGTTCACGACACACAGTTCAGTGCAGCGTAAGAGAGATTCTCTGTTATTCACTTGAAAATTTCTTTTGTGCAAGTGTATATATGCGTAATATAATGTGAATGGATTTTACTACTTGGAAAAACAGAGATTATTAGTTTTTTGATTGATTAAAACAGATATGTTCAGGCTTCCAAGTATTGTAGACACTTTCTTAAATGGATTTGTCAGGTACTCAGTATTGATTGTAATAACTGCTACTGTAATTCATGAGTAAACACTGCTGGGTGCATAAATGTTTTGTAAGGTTGAACACCAGGGATGAGAATTAGACTTTGTTTTATTTTCATGTGACATTAATTCAGATTTCAAACTGTATCTTGAGGTATGTGGAAGAGTAGTGTTCTGCACTAACAGGGCAAGTTATGCTGAGTTTCTTAGGAGATTTTGTTTACAGATTTTATCACAATTCTAATTCCTAAACTTCCTAATTGGAAGTAAGATTTAGTGCTAGAGAAAGCACAGAAAATATATCAGCATGGGCCCTGCCCAGAATTTACTCTCCTAACAGGCAACAAAATACATATTATATGTATCTCCTTTGCAAGTCTCTTTCCTGTTCTCCTCCCTTTGGATCTGTTTTCCTCTGTGCTTTCATGTCCTTTTAACCACAAATGGGAAGGAAGCCTCGGGCCGAAGGAAGGCTTTACAGATGGGATGTTTACTCCAGCCAGCTGGATGATGGAGCTAGTTTGCTACTTCCCAGTTAAAGCTAACTGAAAGTTCTATTACACAAGAATAAATACCAAAAAACAAGAACCATAGACGTTTAGCAAAGGGAGAAACTTGCCTTTCACCTGTTAAAAATGATCTACCAATTTATATTAAAGTCCTATGGCTTAGTTATAAATTAGTGTCTGGAGTGTTACAACAATGACTGTACAATTTGTTGGTGCACTGCAGGCGCATGTGGCTTGATCGGCACAATGTCTCTGTGTCGTTAAATATCCTTTCATACCATCAAATTAAGTAGAAAACCAAGACTGACATACTGAAAATCAATTTAATCTTTCTGCCAGCAATGAGATCTTTTTCAGGGTTTTGTGTTTTTTGTTTTTTTTTTTTTTTAATAGGAAAGGTCGCTATTGCTTCAATTATTGTGAAAGCAGTAGACAGGGAAAATGACATTAATGTGATGTCATTTGATAATTGATGATACATTACTGCACATTGGTTTTTAACATTTCAAGAGCTGAAGTTTGTATGACATGATACAAAGGGGCCAATTTTTCTACAAGTACAGAAGGGGGGCTGATAACTGGAATGGAAACAGCACGTTGACGGACGTTCAACACTATTATGAAATGCAGTGTTCTGGTTGATTCTGTGGGTGGCTGTGGTCAGGAAGTTGGCAAGGGTTTACTGACTGGTTCAGCGGGGCCTGGTAGCATAAGTAGATGATGTAGGAGACATAGAGGTATATATATACACATACATAACGTCAGCTTGCAGGCTGTGGGAGTGTTACGTATCAGTGGCCTAATTCACAGTCCAGTAAAGCTGGTGTTCATCTCCCCTGTGTGACCCATGAATTAGCTGTTGGACACGTGGCTCCCTGGGGAACCATAATAGGCACTGTAAATAATGGGGAGCAAATGGTATTTATGCCACATTTGAGTCCCTGCTCTTGCAGAGCAGGCGACATTGGCTTCCTTGGGGTGGTTTATCTATGGATTAATCGTGACGATCATTTTAAACACCATAAATAGTAGAGCTGCACAAAAGACAGAAAAATGTACCGATCCAGGCCTTTCCAGGAGTTTATCATCTAAACAGACAACACGATATGCAGTGGAAGGCTCCAGGGAAGGCTCTTAAAGCATCTATCTGCCACAGAGTCTTTAGTTATCCAGAGGTGGGGCTGTAGTTCGGTATGCACAGCAATAAACGTCAGTTCTATTGCCTGCAAAGTGATGAGGAGTTAAACTTCTGGTTCAGACCGTCTCTAGGCAAATTTAACTTTGCCTTCCTTCAGAAAGAGTCACTTCAGAGTAGGTATGTCAGATATATCTGCTGCATAAGAAATGCAAATAAAGAGGCAACTGAGTATTTCAGAACCATTCTAGTTTTATAAAATGTGCTTTTCTTTATGCTATGTATTTATGCAGCAATTAACTGTTAAAAATGAAATGTGAAGCAGAATATTTAATTTTTTTTCTCTGAAATCATAAAGAGGAATATAGAAGCAGCAAGCAGGTTTTTCTAAGTAAAGAACGGTGACAGTGAAAAATGTTGATACCTTTGGTAGTGGTTAATCCTAGTTCTGCCTAGTCTGTTACTGTAAGCATCTTTAAGGCTACTGCGGAAAAGAATGGATACATATAGTTGATTTTCCCATCTCATGTACATTTGGGCTCCTTGTCTCTATAACTGCAGAAAAATGTGTTTCAAGGCCCATACTTATATAAACTGTGATTTATTTGTGAGCATAGAATCGACTGTATGGCAAGCTAAGCTCTAACATTCGACCTGAAATTATAGAAGGTATACAGTTTCACTTTGCAAACTGAACATAGATTTTGCTTGACACTTATGCCTTCACATGATCCCTACTTCTCATTTTATGAGAGAATAAATCTAACAGTGACAGACACCATTTGTGGGAATGCTATTCCTGAGAAGGGCCAAAATCACCATCTTTGATTTAAATGTCGAAGCCTGTGGTTGGTACAATGGTTCAGTGGCAATTTCAGCTTGTCCAAGCAAAAGTTTAAAACTCCTGTAATGACTGTATGTCATATTCTTCCCCCGAATAAAAATCCTTTAGTTATGTGTAGGTTCAATCCTGGACTCCTGTAGACCCCTGTGAGAATGGATTATGCCCTTACATTATAAGGCTACAGTGGAAGAGGTGGTATTCTATCTGACAGGGTTCAGTGGGTTTCCCTGCTGACAGAGAAAATGATGATTTTAAGGCACCAGTCTCATCCATCATTACAAGAATGGCTCACAGATATGACAAGAAATCTTATGGAAAATAATCTGTGGTCTAGACAATAAACTGATCAGTTTTGATGAAATCCATAAACCTTTTGTATACGATATTGAAGAGCAGACCAAAGCTTTCTGGTTATAGGTATAGGTTTTGCCTTTTAAAACTACACAGAGCTTGTCTCTTTGAAAGTGGAGAAATAACCTTTCAATGTTATCAAAGTATCAAAATAATTAAGTTCATGTTGATGAGGTGATATTTACTTGTATAGCGTTCTTATCATGCACGCAGTTTCCGTAGCTAATCTTTGCTTGTTCATGATAACATCCTAAAGGGAAATGTCTTACTAGGCATTGAACATAGCTATCTGTGAGGAAGGAGAAAAAAAGAAGAGGTGCAAATCGGGATGCGGACAAGGTATTCATATGCGCTGTAGTGTGGTAATCCTCTATGCCTTTATTCTTGCGGTTGGGGCTAAGGAAAATTCAGTCAAATGAGGCAAGCAAGGGACATGACCAGGAAAACTAGAACTGTACAGACTCATGGATCTAACACCATGTAGTAATTACGATAACTGAAAGGCTTAAAATGGGCAGCAGAGCTGCTCAGCAGTCACTCCACTCCAAGATGAATGATTAACTGCAGAATTTATTTTCCTTCAAGTCTCTCCTGAATTTCCTACACAAAGCTCATTTATTCAGGGTTTGCGGAAAAAGGGCTGTGCTTGTCCCTTTACTGATAATTATTTGAACAGGGAAAGTATAGCTCTGTTTGATATTGCCATGTGTATTCTTACTTATTTGTACAACATTATCATTTGGGCAGCAATGGGGAACTTACTCTGTCCACTTCTCAGCTGAGGGACTGGTTAAACACAAAACAAAATGTTAGGAGCACAAGG